TTTACGCGTCCTATTATTTATCGATGACGTGAATTCCAAACGGTAATCCGGAAAGATAATGACAGATAGATAGATAATGGAGAAAGGGGGATAGCGACATGCATTCTGAATTCTCGCGACGCGGTTCTATCTTTGCCGGGTTGAATTCGCGAATTTTGTCTTTCATCCGCGCGCACCGTTCGAAACGGCGTCGTACTTCGATTCGAACGATTACTTGGGGATCGAGGACGATTTGGAACGTTAAAGAGTGGTACGAGTGGTAAAGGTGCCAATGGAATCGCGAATTTTTCCTCTCCGCGCGCGTGTTTGAACGACGTAATATTTCGATTCGAATGTTAACCTCTTGTCTCTTAACAATATCCAAGTCGTAATATATCAGGAGAAAACGAACACGTGCTATAGCAGTGATATGAAGACTAAGAATGTTAATATTGCTTGGTTTTAAAAATTACCATTCGTAAGAAGATAAAAACTTGTTATCAGATTAATCCAATTAATCAAGAACATTATTTCAGAGGAATATTACTTGAAATATAATAGATTTCATGTCTAATAGAATTACATAATGTAAAACATTTGAATATTGGAAATTAAATATACGTATAAAAGGTAGATTTTATACTTCCCCTTTTTTTAATAACAAGTAATAATCTAACGGCGGATGTTCATTTTATTCTGACATGATTTTATTCATTGCAGAATCACGCTTATGGCATGAATCATGGCTTTGATATGAAAGAAGAGACAGACTGTAACTCTATGAAATTTGAAATGAATCGAATTTTTAAAATTAAACTGAAGTTTAACAACTATGAATTATATGCTTTCCTGCCAGATTAAATAAGAATATGATCTACAAAAATATGATAGAAATATTATGTGACATTTGTTTATAAACGCTTTCTCATAAAGTTTTAAACAACAATTATTAAACATAGCTTGAGTCGATTCGAACTTCACTCTACCTTGATTTCTATTCGCGAGCTTAACAAAGACGTAAAGTATAGAAGTACACGCGAAGAATTAATTCAAGGAAATTTTTAGGAACAATTTTAATTGCACGAGATAAAGAACAAAATTCTCAAAAAATTCAGGATCGATGTCAAGCTTGCACCAATGAAAAAAAAAAACAGTCATTATTCTACAATTATACCTTTAAAAAACTTTGATACGATGCTACAATTGCAATAAGTAATGCCAAGAAGATCGAAGAAAAAATCGTAAGGCAACGATCTGACTTGCATGACAAACCGCTCGCGAGATCAATTTGGTCGCGTGTTTATCTCGTCAGTGGCGTTTTTCTTTTTTCTTTTTTTTTCTTGTTCCCTGGTACCCGTGTATTTTTCGGGGGAAATTTGTCCAGATCCGGGAGCCGCGCGGACAGCGTTTGTCCGCATCGATAGGGGGGGTGCAGGTCGGTGAGGGAACGCAGAGCATTTTGCGTCGTTCATACGAGCTCCCGCGGCGATTTCCAATTTGCGATTAAGCGCCGGTCGATTTGCAATTTGATGGAGGGATCGCGGATTTGAATTGGCGCGCTCTGCCCTGTCTCGTTCGGCACAATCCACTCGCCTGTACTCGCCACCCTCCTCTTTATTTCCCCGCCAGGCTTTCTCCCTTGTTCCGCTCTTTAACATTCCAAAATCGTCCTCGATTCCCGGATTGAAACATTACACCGTTCAAGTTCATCGCGACACGGGAAGGAAAAATTCGCAATTTCTTCGAATTCTTTCTTGGCTGCCACTCGCAATTCTTGTGCGACCGATTTTTAAATTTATCAATCCACTCATACACATTATGTTGAGGAAGAACAGGCTGTTTTGCTTGTGGTGAAAATCTTTGGTTTGACTGTTATCGTTATGACTAACGAAAGTCAAGATCGAATATCAATAAACAAAAATATCACTAATATCAATGATATCAGAATGTCTTTTTAAGTTGATTTTAAGGTTCAGAATTATCGTCACGATAATTGAAAACAGGCCATAAGCTGCTACGTTTTATTTTTATAACTTGAAATTTTGCTTTTAATAAATACAAACGTTGCGATGCTTTTCATTATAGGACAAAGGCCGATTAATATTAATACATTAACATTTAACATTGCAACAGATGTATCAAAAACTATCACGTCACGGATAATTGTTGAATTATTCTCTCCGTCGTACAGGAATATATTTTTCAAGAATAAACGTAATTGAATTTTCATTCGATCGATTGAAACACGCGCAACGGAGCATCGTTCCGATCGTTCAGGAATATCAAGAGATATAGCTGTAGGATTGATATTTCCTCTACGAATGGAAATTCCGTCTACACGCGCGGCTTAATGTTTCGCGCGACAATCCGTATATCCGACTCGTTTATCAATTTTTCACGCGTGTATTCCTCCTCTTTATCGGTTATTTGGTTATCCGCTACATCGGCGCCATTCGACTCGATCGCGCTTATTTACGATTTCCGCGGAACAGCCGCCGGTGTTATTCGCTGACAATTTATCGATCTAGGAGGAGAAGGAGCGAGAGAAATGGAAAACACGAGCGTGCGAGCACGCGTGGACTCCGCGAAATTTCGCGACTACTCGGCCGCGATAAGTGCTCGCGAGGCTGCCTAACGAAATCGTGTCGCGCTTTAATTGCCTTTTCAATGCACGCCCTCACCCGCGGCGGAGAAAAAAACCCAGCCACCATCTGGAGGAGAGAAATGTTGCGCCCGCTCTGCAACGAATCCGCCCGCGTAATTAGCATCGCTTGTTCGATTATCGTTCCCACCTCTCGCGAAGTCGAGGTTTCTCCAAATTCGCTCTTCTTCCCTTTTAATCAAAAGTGGTAACTAGCTTTTCGTAGCGTGTAATTTTCTCTCCTTCACCCACTACACTCCCTCTTCTCTTTTTATTTCATTCGGTTGGTGCGTACGAAACGCTTCCCCCCCCCCAAAGTTTGTATTTATGTCAATTATCCACGTGGAAAAGGTCGAAGGAATTACGATATTGCTAATTTCGTTTTTTAAAATTTGCGATTATTCGTACGATCTGCAAATAAACTCAGAGACGTGAGTTTATTTGTGGATTTTTTTTTAAAGAACGGTGAATGTGTTTCTGGGTAAACGAAATAGGAAAATTTGGAGAAGTGGAGTTGGCTTCTGAGGATCATTTGTGAAAACTTGTAATAAAAATACCGTAGCCTCGTTATTAAATAAAAGTTCAATGAAATTAGAAACATTTAATAACGTTCGAGATCTATTCCAGCTACGCAGTTTTTTTAAATATATAAATTACTCGAGAAAGAATCCTCAAATTTTAATACTCTTATAAATTCCTCGAAATTTTGAAACTCGTTATTCGTGGAAGAACGTACAAATAATCGTTTCATTAAAGTTGCCGATCAAGGGACTCTACGCGCGAACAAAGTTATATATTTGACGAATGACGTCTGCTGGTAACAGAAATAGAAATTCGTCTCTCACGGATTAAAAAGAGAAGAGAAAAAAAAATATCGTTCGAAATTCTCGTCTGTTGAGCGAAAATGATTTTTTTGCTACGACCGTCGAGACGAACGAGTCGCGAAATCAGACACGAAAGGAGGGAGAGTTGGTGGGGATCGTCGGATAAATTTCGGGGAAATTAAGGACGGCGTGCCGGCTAATTAATCGCGATAATCCCCCTCTTCTACGAGAGGGTTTGTTAGT